ACATATGTTAACAGCAGGTGCTGCGTCAGAGTAAATGGCGTAAAGCCGGAGCTGCTTTCTGTCCATTGTCTTCTTTGCGCTGTACGTCGATGGAACAGTCAGGCTCAGCCTGACGTTTAGTTGGTGATGTTTACAGTGAACAGTTTGTGGACTTGTGAAAGCAAGCAGATTCGGTGATGTTTTTCACATCTTCCCTTTTGCCTTTTTCGAACAGCACGATTGTTTTGGACTCCTTCCAGCTTGACGGCTTTTCTGTCATGTCCAGATAGCTAAACTTCTACGGTATAGTGCTGAAAGCACCTGACCGTCTCCTCTGATGATTCAGTTATCAGGCCGTCTACGCTTGAAGCCAAGCATTCATTATTTTTTCGCGGAATGCTGAACCTCGCTCATGAGGACCGGAAATGACTTCCTCTTGGCTGTTTGAGTAATGTGTGATGTATGGGGAGGGGTGCCTTTGAAGCAAAGTGCTGAGTGTGAGGGTGTCTGCAGACAGTCAATTCTGTGCCGCGTTAATACGCCATTCCCGTTTTTCAACGCTGTGAGGGTCGACCGCTAAAGAGCTAATTCTGGCCTGCACTGTCAGAGGCGTCTGCGGTCTAATGGTGAAGTAAACTGGAGCATTTATTTGCTCTGTCGTGCAAGTGAAAGGAGGATTGATGTTTTGATGGTCAGAAAAATCGTTCCTTCTCTGATTTCGAAAATTCATTTTGATTCCTTGTGTTTTTTTACCATAATATCACCGATTCGAGTGATTACAGTCCTCATTCTTAGTGCCATATTTCTAATCATTTTCAAGACCACAACTGATTTGGAAAATGATTGTTTACCCTGGCCTTAAAGATGATATGATCAAACTTTTAGCAATAAAAACAGACCTTAGCATCAGCCATTTGTACTGTGACTCTAACCTTCTCTCTTTCTATGGACAAACCTCAATGTTTGGATTTCTGAAGACTGTTCTCAGCCTCAGGCTTTTGAAATTTTGCAAGGGCATCGTTAACAGCTTTCGAGCCTTTTCATGAGGATCACAAGAAGGATTCTTTGTGGCTTGATATCCGTACGGAGAATGAACCTGAATGCACTTCGCCTCTTTTTTTGTTCCTCAAGATATTCACGTCAAAGCTGAATTCATTATGCTTCCTCAAAGCCTAATATGTTGCCAGAGTTTTCTCAGGGTTGGGGGGGGCAGTGATGTCCGTGAACAGTTTGGCTTTTCACCCTAGTTCTGAAAACTTTGAAATCGAGAGCAGCATTACATTATTTTAATAACTGCAACTATTCTGCTCAAAGAATTCATAGCACCTCGTGCATCCAAGCAAGAAATGGGTAGCTATTGGTTGCCGTGGGAAGAGTTGGAACAGGACGGCACTGTGGTTAGCTCATGGAAGACTGTAGGACACGTACTGGAATGATTTTCGAGGCGTGTGTACACCGTACAGCCGCAATTCTCATTGGCTGAGAACCTGAAAACTTACTACAAATTTGCATAAAGTGTAAACTGCTCATTCAAAATTTAAAGTGCTTCATCTTAGTCTTTCTTCATCGTTTCTCCGCACAACTTTTGCCGTAAACAAAATATTAGTCGTCCGGTCAGAGGTACGCGTTATGCCTTCCTGTTTTTCCTTTGTTTACGCAG